CTCACATTTTCTCCGTGACTCGCTCCTGTTTTGCTTTATAATGTTTCCCTTGCCAGCTCTCAGCATGCCAACAGCAGCTGCATCATGGCGCTCGCCCTGCTGCCAAGAGGGCAGGCAGCCTCCGAGGAGGCTGGAACGCAGCACCACAGCCAACTGTTGGGAGCTAGATGCTGGGGTGCCACACAGCATGGCTGGCATTCAGCTCCTGCTAGGAGGCATGTGCGAGGACGCTTGGAAAATGGTATTTTTAAACTAAATGTATATTTTTGAACTTTTTTCTATTAAAAAGTTTCAAACCTATGCAGAGGCAGAAGAGGACAGGGAATCCCCACATCCCTTCCTCACCACTTCAGAATTTTCCAGCTTCATTGTCGTGTTTCATTGCCCATAGCGTTTTTCCCGTGACTTATCTGACTGTTGGTAGATTTTGTTTCCAGAGATAGATTAATCTTAAATTACAGTTGTTTTGTAATTTTTTTTGGTAAGATTTTTCAGATCTTTATTCTTTTTTTTTTTTTTTTTTTTCCTTTTCTTTCTTAATCTTTTTGAGACAGGGTGTTCGTATGAAGTTCAGGCTGGCCTTGAACTCACTTTGTAGTGCAGACTGGCTTGGAACTCAGCAGCCTTCCTGACTCAGCCTTCCAGAGATCTTTATTCTTAAAGGGAAAGGTAGTAAGAGTCTCCCTTCCTTGTAAATCAAACCATGGCATGCTGCTTTAGTAATTATCCTGTTTTCTAATAGTGTCCCATTAATTTTCAAGGCTTTCTTGGCCCAGTCTATCCAAAGCATGTGTGAGGTGTGCAAGGTCTTCATCATTATCTTTTGGCCCCCATGACTCACCGTACGCCGTAGGAAGTTAAGACTTACATGAGTGGAACAGCTTTCTTCAGGTCAGATGGCAAATTTATCAAGAACTGAAACAAGAAGCCATGTATTTAACCCCTTTTACATTGGACGTGGGTTAATATAGTCTTGTCCTCAAAGAAAAATGCTCTGACAAGTGAGAGTTGTTTGTAAAAAGGGGAGAAAGAGGATTAATAAAGGCATAAGCAAAGGAGTAGGTATTTCTGTTACAAAGCCTTAAAAGCTGTGTCTTTAGAATGCAAATATATTTCCTCCTGTTTTTGTGAGGATATTTCAAGGATGCTTTTGTTTAAGAAAAGGAATAATTTGACTAAGGAAACTGGATAACATTCTGTGCACAAGGAGAACAGAGAAGAAAATTCAAGGTTGGATCAAAGACTAAGGGATATAGGTGAGATTAGCTTCTCTGTTTAAGAGAAAAATCAAGCAATGTAAAGAAAGGGAAAAGGAAGATTATTTGAACCACTAATGAATGTCTATACAGAAAACGTGAATGGATTCTAGACTTTCTCCAAAGCCAGGAAAGGTCTGGCAGTCCTAGTTTTTATTAATTCACTTACTTCACACACACTAAGCACTAAAGTTTCTGAGCAAATATTACTTCATTTACTCCTTAAAATAACAGTCTTTACAGTAAATGCTATTATTGATCTCATAATACAGCTGAAGAAATGGAGGCACAGAGAGGTTAAGCCAGGCAGGCATTGGCTTAGCAGTAACAGGAGACCTGGGCTTTGCGCCCCAGCAGTCTGCACCACCTTGTCGTGCTGCTCCTAGGTAACCGAAGTGGAAGGACAGACGTAATCTTGAAGTTTTTATGTGTACCTGAATGCTGCTGCTTGTTTGGTTTTTCTACCCCACCAGCACAGGGCAAAACCCTTTGAGGATCTGGAGTGCTTACCATTCCTCACTGACACCTGAGCCTGTGGCTGGCCCTCGGGTACTTGGCGTCGCGGTACCAGTTCAGGTTCAGGAGACAGGGTCTGTGTCCGCTGCACACACAGACCCTCAGAACAAGCTTGGTCGCTGCATGATGTGATTACATTTCTTATAGTTTCAGCCCTAGGGAAAGTACTGTGGTGTTATTTTCACAAGAAACTGTATGGCTGTTCCTGATCACTGTACTCTGTAACTTTATTAATATGGAGTTATTACTAAATAAATCTTTCTTAGGGGCCCTAGTCTAGGTAGTGGAAGTATTTTGTGGAGAGAACAGTTCCTTCTTTATAAATTCCCCATTAATTCTTTTATGAACTTTTCATTAATTTATAATCTACTATTTCGCCTAGCTTAAAAACAGAAATCAAAAGAACTTTTTTGACTCCCCTTCTCAGCTACTGACCCATATCTCTTTTCCCATTTCCAGTGTAACATCTAGAAAAAATTACTCTCTTATTTGTTTCCACTTTCTCCACCACATCTCATCAGGCACCAGACTCGGGTCCTACCCCGTTGCCTACCAACAACTCTACTTGGTGCCTGCAAGGGCCCTCGTACTTCCGACACTGAGCTCTCAGTCTGCCTGCGCAGGATGTCTCCCCTGTTACAGGGGCCGTGCCTCCCCTTGCTCAGGCCACAGAGCCGAGTTTGCCCCTGACTGTGCCCTGGTCTCCTACCTCGCTGTGCATCCCCTTAGGAAGTCTGATTGGCTTTGCTCTCAGCACCTGGTCCCAGTTCTTTTCTTTTTTTTTCACAATGGATTGCTGTTCATTTTTTTTTCCATAGTTTTATTGAGAGACATATAGCAATGAGACACTTCTAAATCAAATTGGTATGACAGTTTCAATAATGAACACACTGCATACCCCATCTCACGTGTGATCTCACGATGCTAAGTGACTCTACGGTCACCCCTGTTCCCGGCTGTCTTCTTGCCTTGTGCACTGCCCAGCCACCCTTCATTTTCCACAGCCCACACAGCAGCCGGAGTGATTCTTTTAAAACATCAAAGTCTATCACCTCTGTAACTGTGTTCTTCAAGATTTTTTCTTCCAACTCACAACAGTGTAGATGAGTCCTGTATGCCTAACACTGGCTGTAAGCACCCCAGAGCAAAAAGTACTCATAGTGTGTGATTGTGCTCATGTGAAATTCAAAAACAGGTTAAGCCCGTCTGTGCTGTGGGAACTCAGGACAGTAACTGAGAGAGCGGTGAGTTGATTGTGAGTGGAACAGAACGCCATCCTCCCTGCTGCCTCACCTGACTACCTGTGTATGGTCAGTTTTTGACAACTGAGTGCATTGTGATGTACCCTTTTCTGTATGCATTTTATACTTCAAGGAAAGGTCGTCAGCATTTATAACTATTAGAATATAAGCTCCCGGCAGACAAAAAATCTTACCCGCTTTCATCACTTAACAGATATTTTCTGAGCACTAGGCACTGATACAGACATTGAAAATATAACAGTGGAACATAAAAGATACAGTGCCCAAAGGACAATGGGCAGAGTAAATGACATGGCCTGGAAGGAGGCCCTGAGGGCGCTGCAGGCGGAGAGGTGGGAGGTGGGGGTGGAGAAGGTGGGCCACCGTAGGCCCTTTCACAAAAGGCAGCCAGGAAAGGCCTCTGGGCAAGTGGTGTGACTGGGAAGGAGGTAGGAAGGAGCCATGTGCTCCTCGGGGCGGAGGACTGGGAGTCCCAGCACTGGGGCTGCAGCAGCCACTGTGTGACCTGGAGTGGGAGAGGGCTGAGGCAGGCTCTCCAGGCCCAAGTCAGACCCGAGGTGAGGCCAGGCTCATAAGGACCCGACAGGGCTTTGGAAAGACCAGAGGTTTTTTGCGTGGCACAAGGCAACGAGAAAAAAAAGTTTCCCCCCTTAATCTGGCTTGAGTTACGTTTCAGCTGTTGGTAATGGCAGGTCCTTCATTTGCATTGCTGCAAATAGATGTTTAGTTTATTGCCCATCCTGCTACCGATGAATATTTAGGTAGCTTCCAGTTCCAGATGTGTGATAAAGGGATATTGCGACCATCCCAGACATTTTTTCAGGAAATACCTATTTTAAATAAGTTGAATGGGTTATATCTTTTTTTTTTTTTTTTTTTTTTTTTTTTTTTTTTTTTTTTTTTTTTTTTTTTTTCCAGAACCTGGGATTAAACTCAGACCCTTGCGCTTGCTAGGGAAGTACTTACTCTACTGAGCCATCTTCCTAGTTCCGGGTTATATCTATTCTTATTTATGTGATATTCATGGTATAACATGTTTCCACGGAAAGTCAGACATGGCACACATTAGCAGTAAAGTTCCGAGTACCTAGTAGGATAAAGCAGTGAAGTGCAAGATGAGGATTGGAAGGACATGTAAGCCAGGTTGCTTGCTCTCCAGACCCTGAGGCCCACCTGGAGATCGGAGCAGTGCATGCGGACCAGCACGCAGCAAGGCGCAGCAGGCATCGCCTGCCTTCCCAGGCAGTTTGCCCCATGAGCGCGCTGCAGCCGGCAAGCTCACTTTAGAGGCCGGCGGTACACGTTTCACAGGGGTGCTGGGTATTTCAGAGCCTGAAGACATCCACAGGGTATGGAAGGGCAGAGACTGGCTTTGTACGTGATACCTGGGCTGGGGAAATGGCAAGAATGCCTGCTGGTATTCAAGGGAGTTATGTGTGGCCAAGCTTGAGTAGAATAGACTTTAGGGTTCATTTTAAAGCCTAGAAGAGGGGCCAGCAAGATAGCTCAGCAGACTAAAGTGCCTGCTTAGGCAAGCTCAGGGACAGTGGTTGGTCCCCCAGCGGCTCAGTCCCCGCCCCCCGCGGTTTGATCCCTGTCCTGGCTCAGTCCCACCCTTGGTTGGAGCCTCAGCCCCACATGCTGCGCCAGCCCACCCCCAGGGCCAGAGTCCGGGCACAGGGGGCTGAAAGCAGGAGGGTCACCACGAGTGTGAGTTGAGTACTGAGACCCAGTAACAGCCAAGTACATTAAATAAATGAGTAAATGAATGAATAAAGCCTAACAGACATTTGAGTGGGTGTATTTCCAAGTGGATAGTTGCACTCAAGTCTGGAAGCCCTTAAGCAGTCCATATTTCTCAGTTCTGTTGGTGTATTGATAACCACATTCACCATTGCTAACCCTCACAGTTCATACATTTTAAGTGTGTGTGTGTGTGTGTGTGTGTGTGTGTGTGTATTTTTAGACCAGCAGGGAAAGCTCAGCCCGTGTGACCGCAGCAGGAGGCCCTGAGGCGGACCGTGGGGCCGGGCAGCCCCCGGAGAGCCGCACGCAGCCCGCCGAGCTCCTGAGCGACGTGCCCTTCACCCTGGCGCCACATGTCCTGGCCGTGCAGGTCCCCGTCGGCGACCTTCCCGACCACTTACTCTCCTACGACGTCAGCGAAAACTTATCGCGATTTTGGTATGATTTCACTCTGGAAAACTCAGTGCTGTGTGATTCATAATTTTTATGTGTGTTTGTACCTTAACAGCTTTAAAAAGAAAAACAAAAGGATTCTCTATTTTATTTAACTGTTTGATATTGTGTTCTTTATCATTTCGCCCTTTAAAGGCCCTCAGAAAAAAAAGCAAAGACGTTTAAACAAATAAAATAGCATCATATTTGTTGTTGTATCCTTTAGGGTAAATTACAGTTGTCTAAAAATGGACCTTCCGTTCCACTTCCCTCCCCCATGTAATAAATATGAAAGTGAAGCCATGAGGGCTGGATGAAGGGACTAGGCTGCCGCAGCGGCGCCTGCAAACCCTAGCCCGCTGAAAGAGGACTGAGGCCGTTTTCTTCCGTGCCAGACCCCGCAGCCTGGGCTTGCGCAGCGCTGCCCCTGACTCGAGGGGCCAGCTCGTTGCGTTCCTTCTTCTTCCACACTGAATGTGAATAAATTCAGGAACATCATTGCCAGCTCGCTTCATTTCTTCATTCTCAGTGTAGCCACAGACCTGTGGCTGTTTGAACCTTCTCCTAGCCAACAGTGAAGGTTCGCCACCCAGAAAGGCTGTGCGCGCCCCGCTCCGGTCTCCTGAGCACACACTCGGGCTCCTGAGACCCGCAGCGCCTCTTCCCGACCTCCTCCGTGATCCCTGTTTCCACCCTGTTCTTTTCCCTCCCCGCTGCTGAGTGCGCTCCTGAACAGCTTCCCGGCGACCTTCCTGCTTCTGCTTCCTTTTCCCTTCCCGCTGCATGCGTTTCCAGTGACTGCCAAGGGCCACATTTCATTACCAGCCTCTTGGACAAAGACTTTTCCTGAGGATGATATTGCTCAAGGCTCCACACTTAGAAATTTGTTGCCACAATACGCATGAAAATATTTTACAAATTCTATACTTGATTCATTTCCAAGCAGAGTGTAGACAGAACACCTGGATATGACTTTTAGTTCCTGGATGTCTGTTTTTTATTCCAACTACAACAGGAGAGGCTGCACATGATCGCACAGGCCAGTAATCCTAGCACTTGGGAAGCTGAGACAGGAGGATCTTTGTGAGTTCAAGACCAGCCTGGGCTACAAAATGAGCACAAGGCCAGCCTGAACGGCATAGTGAGACCGTGTCTCAGAAAAAGGTGAAACAAAAATAGGAAAACTGCCACTGATCCATAAACCACAAAGGGAAGTCAGATTGTGAATTTTCTATGCCCTGAAAATTGAAGTCATAATTATTTTGATTAGCACCAACATAATTTATTGTTCTGTGACAAACTTGTAAGTCTATTTTTTGTAAAACTAGAGTGCCATAGCAGAGCTAAGCACTGTGCACATAGGTATATAAATTATTCAAATTTTAATACACTGGGCATGTTTAATAAATGTGATATGGTTTGGTCAAGATGCTATATTATTTAAAGGTAAAGGAATATTTCTATTAAAAATGTGCTTTGTTTACAATAATGTTATCATAGGATATTAATGATTAAATTATCTCCTTACACACTTTCCATAAAACATCAGTCTAGGAAATAATACTGTTTACATGTGAACATTTTGTAGCACGTCTAGTGAGCACCTGTCTTTTCCAAACATCTGTGTACTTTTAAACCTAAATGTAATCATATAATCCATTGTCTAGTATATGTGTTAGATTTTGTCTAAGTTACACATTTCATTTGTACTTATGTCTACTACATTGTAAGTATATTTATAAGTATTTTCATTTGTCTACAGAATTATTATATTTAAATAAATGTGAATTAAAGTTGTTGATTATTTTCAGATCTATAAAAAGTGGTTTTCTTTGCATTATTCATTTCTTTTTTATTTTTTAAAATCCTTTATTTATTTATTTGGTACAGGGTCTTGCTCTACAGCTTGGACTTGTGGTGAGCCCCTGTGTCACCCTCCCCAGCACTGGAAATGTGCCACCACACCTGGTTTCAGTAGCTGGCACAGTACTTGTTGTATTGTATGCCTTTCTCTTAAATATACATGTTTAAGGGATAACCTTCACCATGGTAAGATTGTTAGTCCTGGCTTCATCAGACTGAAAGGATTTGAAAGAAATGACATGAACATCTCTAGATAGATCCCCAGCATATTGAAATTTAGTAAGGACTGGTATTAATGACCTGTTTATAACAAAAATGTTATGAAAGTGGCTATCTACATGATCCTATGCTGTATAGATCAGCATTACTATTTCAAAACTGAAAAAAAAAATCAGAAATCAACTAGCTAACTCTGTTTTATGCAAGAGATAATTGAAGCCTAACAAGGTTAAATACCTGGAAACACCTAGGTAGTGATAAATAAATATTTCCTTGAATAGTGTTAATAGTTACAGTAGAGGTGATAAAGTGGTATGGCTGTGGGAAAGAGTTCAGCTGTTCCAGCCAGCCGCAGTGCATGGCAGCTTCCTGGTTCCAAGCTGAAGGGCTTTGGATCTCTGCCCTCAGTTCTGCTGTCCTCAGGTCCCCTGCCTGTTAAAAGCCCTTATCCACATCTTGCAGAGCATGTTAGGTAGTACGTGGTGGAGGCCGGATGCCTGGCAGCCTAGTGCCCGGCGTGCCAGTGGTGTTCTGGGCACAGGACTGTCACGATTCCTATGACTGACTAAACGCACAGCCGTACAGCACAGTGCAGAGTGCACATGAATCCAGCTGCATCAAGGCAAATGTGGAGCATAGCTCTGTACCGTAGCTGTGTGTGCCTCACGCCCCTGGAGTTTACTTTGAAAAATTGCCCTAAACTATAGTAAGTGACTCTTCTGCCTCTGCTAAAAGCACTGAAGTAAACATTTTTTTTTCTTTATCAGGACCAAAGCCAAGAATTCCCATGTATTCCTTTTCCTTAAAATGTTATTGTTTTAAATTACTGTAGATACAGAATATATGATTGAGTGAATCTTATTCTTATGCTCAATATGAAGTAGAAAGTTGCTTGTATTTTTCTTCCAGGTTTCTTTAATGACATTGGCATTCTTTCCTAAAAATAAAACTAGAGAGTCAATTCTGGCCAGTTTACTATTTGGTTGAAATAGTAAAAAAAAATTTTTGATTAATTGAACTTTTAGGGCCTGGGGAGATAGCTCAGTAGAATAAGTGCTTGCCTGGCAAGCACAGGGTCCTGAGTTCAATCCCAGTTCAGAAAAAAAAAAGAATTGAACTTTTGAAATTATATGATTATAATATTAATAAATAAACAACTCTCATTAACCCACATAGTAGTTTAAGTATACAGTCATCAATTCCAACCCCTTTTTATTGCCATATAATTCTTTTTTATGTATTTTTTATTTTAAAGAGAATAAAAATTTAAAACAAATTAAGGATACAGAATTTCAAAAACAAGATGGTAGGAATTCAACAATTGTTATATTGTATATTGTCTTCAAAGTAGTTGTTCAAGGGCCAGCCAAATACCTCAGCAAATTAAAACAGGCACAGGGGCTAGGGGTTCGATCCCCAGGCCTGCTGTGCCGGCCCCAGCCCTGGGGCATGCTGAGACAGCAATTGAGACTGGCCATGGTGGCACGCACCTGTAATGCCAGCTCTAGTAGTGAGACTCTGAACACCCTGTAGACCTTTCCCATATATAAGCATATAAAATTGGTCAAAAAATTAAGCATTAACTGTTCCATTCAATAAACCCATAGAAATTAATAACATAATTATCTTAGCTATCTTGTGTGTGCATATTTTTCTCCTTTCTTTCTTTTCTCCTTTCCCTCATCCCAGTTGTTCTTTCCTTTTGAGCACTGTCTCTCTTTAACAGTGTCTGTTGTATCTCTGATTTTAGTCTTTCAGGTTCTTACATTAGGAGACAATATGATGTTTACACATGCAGGTCTGATTTCTCAGAAGTGCAATAAATCCAACACTTTTTAATCCTCCCTCAAAGTAATAAATTGAAATCATTATAATTTTTTTCCTTCTATTTCCCAGAGGTTTCATATAAGTCTGACCGACAGGTAAGGAATAATTCAGGAAATAATGTCACCCATGCTCTGGAACTGTGGTACTTGACTTTACCACTCTATTTCCCACAATAGCAGTTGATTAGTGAGTGAATACTACCCTCAGTAATTTGGCACAGAATGTGTTACTTTCAGAGACTAATGCATGTCATTAATAAGTCACATGGCATAAGTATAGCAAGCAGGTAATTGAAAAATTGCATCTTTTAAAGCCACTGAGAAATACAGGTTTGTCAACATATCTTTTGATTATTAGTGGCCTAGTATGAGGGCATAAACTAAATGTTATGGGAAAATCTAAGCCTCTCAA